ACTTTTAGCAACAGGCCGCAAGAGACCAACAGACTCTCAACAGACAACACAGAGGGGGAATGAAGAGCAGATAGACAGGGAAGGAAGAAAAAAATAGTAAAAATAACACAACAGCCACAGCAGCTAATGACTGTGAGAGGTAGCCAGTACAAGGGCAGGCAGGTGCAGGACAAAGTCTCGGATGCAACCATTCTAAAAGTGTGCATGGCCCCCTCAACTGATACACAACATAGCTTAAAAACAAATTAAAAATTTTCCCAAGTGAATGCACAAATGGACACAAAAACCATGTGACTATCATGTGACTTTAAACCAAATTCAAAAACCCTGAGCCGTCACTCAGTTTATTTAATTAGTGCAACAGTGCCCAGAAACCATGTTCAAGGTCTAGATTCACAACTAGTATAGACAGAAGTTCTGATAGCCTTCATTAATAATGGAACCATTTCACGCACTTGAGAATGATGTCACATAATGTTTTATGGTGAAGGTGTATACTACCTCAAGAGTAGTCAATTGACTAGATGGGCAGGGTATAAATGCAATAAATTAATTAATAAATAAAAATTTTAAAACCAACACTCAAATGTCTTCATACAAAAATGCTAGCCCTCTGAGTGACATTTTATGTTCTCAGTAAAAGGTGGTTTTCTCAAAATATGAGGATTGTGGTCCTTTCCCTACCATACATTTTCATGGGGCTTTCTTTGAGAATAAGTTGTTTTAATTTTATGTATTCAGACTATTGAAAAGTACTCAAAATATTTTATGTATTTTATGTAAAGCACATCCTTCTCTATCTTGAATCTGGCAGGTCATCTAATGCAATCCAATATATTGATATGGAACCTCCTTGAATTCTATATATATACTTTAAGCGGAGAAGGTAAGGAGACTTCAGTCAGAAAACCCAGTTAATAGTGCCTCAAAATAGAAGAGCTATTATAATGCATATCACTTGGTTTATTTTTTCACTTGCAGTTGATGCAGGAAATTATGGGATTTTTGAGCACATGCAAAGGAGGTCATTATTGTTTTACTGCCTTTAAATCTTTTATTTTAAGTTTAGCTCTCATTCTTATGTCATTTTTAAGGTTGCCCGAACAATGCTGAAGTGCAATAAAATTGAAATACTGCAACACCATGCTGTTAATTCTTTGGATCAGAAACATGCTAAAATAAAGGCCTGCATTTAATCCATGGGATTGATTTTTTTGTTCTCTGGAATCAAATCTGCAGTTATTTTGCAGTAAGGGACATCTGGCAATGTTTAGGACATATATACCAGAGTTTTTGAGATCTAATAATCAATTGCAAGGATCATTAACTGAAAGTATTTCTCAAGCAGTTTATTATTATTTTTAAAGCCTGACTGTTTTATCAACCTTTATAAATACAGTGGAGATAAAATCATTCCAGTTGAGGGACACAAAGACTGTAGATCAGCTGCTGTCAGTTCCGTTTTTATGAACTGTTTAATTGTACTGTCCTCTGTGTGGAACAAGCAGAGAACTGTTTACTTGGTGCTCAATGTCAAAGGAGCCTTTTCAATTTATTACTCTTGATTTTCATAAGTTTTTAGGCTGTGATGGGGGAATATTATGCAAGGCTAACTGTTAAACGTATGCCTGGTTTTTACTCAGTGGGGCTTTCACTAACTCAGAACTTTCACTTCAGTCTGGCCCCATTATTTTATGTTAAAACAAATAATCATGAGATCCTAGTCTAGAAGGAATAGATACTATATTTTAGGCAAAAGCGGAGCTTGGAAAAATTAATTATTTTGCTTATGACTCCCAGAAACTCCCAGTCATATTGTGACTGCTGACCATGCTGGCTATACAGCTCAGCGAGTGGCAATTAAAAAAGTAACTTTACCAAGCTCTGGCTTAAAATGACAACACATTTGTCAGCCACATCACCTAGTACTTAACACACATCAACAGTATGTCTCTCAGCATTGCAAGACTGGTATGTTTGTGTACAGAAGGCTCACATAGTGTCTTATTTAAAAACCCAAATGTGTCCATCTCTCTGACTAATGGGGTATCATGCATGAATGGTGGTCTCTCAGCATTGCAAGACTGGTATGTTTGTGTACAAAAGGCTCACATAGTGTCTTATTTAAAAAGCCAAATGTGTCCATCTCACTGACTAATGGGGCACCATTACTCACTTGGGTTCACAAGCTGTGCATCCTGGGGTATAACTGAACTGAGAGCCAATCGTCCTTTCCCACATTGCATGTCACCACAATAGCTCCAGGAAAGCATCATTTGCAAAATCAAAAGTTGAAATGTAACACTTCAGTAGCTGATGCAACAAAATTCTTGTCCACACCTACCCAGCAGACAAGATAGTAACTTCATTTAGAAGGATTAAACTTGAAACATATTATTTTAAGCAACCGTGTTTGCACAATCAGCATGCAAACAAAGCCTGTTGTTTGCTTCCTGATGATCAGTCATCAAACAAAATAAAACTGATTTGCAGTCTTCATCCTTTACATCTTAAGGCACCTTTGCCTTAATTACAAAAATGTGGTCTCATCTGTTTTGCCTTCAGTTTCATGCCTCATTTTTTTTCCTTGCTCAGTTAGATAAGTCCAGAGGAGTAGGCTGCCATCTTGAAATCACAGAATTTGAATCATTGTAGTCATTCTGAGAATCTTCCACCTGCTGTCAATAAGAATGGTTGGTACACACAGAGTGTGTACACACACATACTCTATTGACCCCATTTACAGTCCACTCTCTTCCAGGAGGCTGAAAGAAAGCACCAATGTCTCCTCACACCTGCATTTTAGGACCACAGCAACACTGTGAAGTAGTAAAGAGTGATTAATCCAGGATCCTCTAGTGAGTTTCAAGAATCAGTGAGGACTTGAATGTGGATTCCCCAAGCTTCAGTTAAACATCTAACCTATTCAGGCATTCAAAAAAAGGGGGGGATGGGTTTAATTTGAAGCTTGAATAGGAAAAAAAGTCTGGCCTCACTCTCACCTGTTACTATCGCCATGTGAAGGACAGTCAGAAGAGAAGACCTTTGGCTCCATGAGGACTCTTGTCTCTGTGAGCAGGATCCCTGGTTTTTCAGTGTTTCCCAACTGGGGAGACTGACTGCCCCATATAGCAGAACTTTTCAAGTAGCATAATTTTGAAAATATCTTCTTTATTGTTCACATTCTTTTTAAAATAATTCAGATTTTTTATACAACTGTAACATCAGTCTGCTTTCTTTCTTTTCTTAAAACTGGTTTGTTTCATCTATGCTTGTCCAAGGCATTTTGAACACAGCCTTCCAGTGAGTCCTTACTTGTGTAACTACTACCTCCACCCTTCATGTTGTAATCCTCTTGCACCCTTTTCCAACTTGAAGGCATGATTGATCCTAAAAGGATATTGTTGAGGGAAACCATCTATGTAAAAGCAGTCAATGCATATTGGTTTCACTCCTCACTCACATTCCTACCATTTCACATGATCAGTCACATGATCAGTTCCATAATAACAGGAGGACTGGCTATGACAAGGATAGGTTGGAAAATACCTCCCTCTGCTTTAATGATTGTCGTTATATAATTGCAAATGTCATTAAGATTTTAAAACATTAATGGAGCCAAAGAAGTCACTGGCTTAGGATGGACCAATTTTCCTGATTAAAACAAAGTGCCATTTATTGATCTGTCTATTTTTGAGAAAGGCACTTCAAAAATGTCCATGAGTTAAAGATAAGAACATTTTTGAAGTAAATTGTGTTTTATGAGCACTTCCAAGAAACAAAGCAATGGGGAGGGGGGAGGAGTAGAACTATGATATACAATTTTAGAAAAGCAGCAGATTTAGTTGTTTTAACATAGACATGTTTATGCAAGCAAAACAAATCTGATATGATGAATGACTAATGCAGAAGAATCATTTTACTTCATGCTGAACAAACACAGTTAAGGAAATATTTGCTTTCAGTTTTTCTATATGCATTTACATGGTGGCCATTGTTACATTAGATGTTATGCCATAGTACTAAGAGGATTTCATGCAGAATATAACAACTGATGTGAATGAGCAGCTTTGCTTATTTTGTATTTAAGACAGGATCATGGCCTTCATGATTTGGAAGTATTGTTTTCTTCCTTTTCTTTCTTGTCTTTGATCCTGTTCTCCTCTAGTACTTAATATTTGTATTTACTTGTCTTACCTTCATCTTTTCCTTATTTTGCCTCTTCCTGCAGCTTGGTCTTTTGTTCATCAAAAACTAACCTTCTTCTTAAACCTCCATTTGATGCTATCATGTCTTCCTAAAACGATCATACATTTTCCTTCTCATAGTCTTTTATGTGTGGATATTTATTCAAACATTTGGTATGTTTAAACATATCAAAACCTCACATTTTTGTCCTGCTTGGTTTCTTATCTGACCTCTCTGACTTTCCCTACTTTTATGTTATTCAGTTGTTTTGATTTTTTTAAAAGCCTGACTCACTTGTGGCAGATTTCTCTCCTTAAATCCTAAGCCTGCTTCTCCTTTTCTCTCCCCTTTTAAAAAAAGATTTTAGGCAGGAACCTGCTGTTGTTGTTTTTTCCCTGTATACTAACTGCTGCAGTATATAATGTGGTAAGTAATACAAACAATGAATTATGCACCGTGTTGTGTTCCAGTGGTTGTGAGGAGCTGCCTCTCCCTATGAGGCTTCAGCCCTATCCTGTGACAAGGCAAGGGGCCAGACTATATGTTACTGGCAACTTGTCCTCAAATGCTGGAAATAACTGTATATCATAGCAGTAAATTTTCACACCTAGAGTTTGATCATTAGCTTGCTTTTTTGTGACTGGTCATCAGGAAATAAGGACAGGCTTCAATTGCAAGTATGATTGTTCAGTCATGCAGGTGTGCCTGAAGCATGTCTCTGGGTCTTTGATGGATTTTATATTCTGATAAAAAGCTGCCTATTATATATAGTTTAGTCCCAAATACCTTCTGAACTCAGCATTCTCTTTCAGATAGAAACCAGGCAAAAGCCACTGGAATCCTAAAACCAGGACTTAAGAGTGAGTGATCATCATCCTTTATTACTTACCTCCAGATGTAGGAAATGCTACAGAGAGTCTGTGCATTAAGACCATGCAGCCAGACAGGGAATTGGCTTGCACTTTGGACTGCTTGTGGCCAATTCCAGTGCAAGCTATTTCCAAGCAATCACACGATGCACAGGAGATCACAAACCAGCCCAGCTATGATCTATGTCCACACTGGACCTTTTTAGTCCATCAGAAGGGCTGTTCTTTTTGGGGCGCCAGGCTGGAATGATTCCTACATAGACAGAAGGGGTGCTTTAAGGGAGGTTCCTCCCGGCACAGCAACCCTTCCTAGCACAAACAGATGGGATCCTTTCTCACTGTTGGATGTCACCCTAAAGTTGGATCCCACCCAGAAATTCAGGTGATGAGTGGTGGTGGAACTGGAGGTAAGAGGTAGCAACTAGCATTCTCAGAAGAAGAAGTCAGTGGTTTACAACAAGCATTTTCTTTCAGGCCAGATAATACCCTCATAAGAGGTTAAAGGGATGTGGTGGTGGTGCGGATTAAGCCGCAGAAGCCTCTGTGCTGCAAGGTCAGAAGACCTGCAGTTGTAAGATCGAATCCACGTGACACAGTGAGCCCCCATCGCTTGTCCCATCTCCCACCAACCTAGTGGTTCGAAAGCATGCAAAATGCAAAATGCGAGCAGATAAATAGGTACTACCATGATGTGAAGGTAATGGCATTCCGTATCTAGTTACGCTGGCCACGTGACCATGGACCAACTAACACTAGCTCTATGGGTTGGAAACAGAGATGAGCACCGCCCCCTAGAGTCAGACACAACTGGACAAATTGTCAAGGGGAACCTTTACCTTTTAAGAGGTTAAAGGAGCTTTTTAAAAAAGACTGCCATTCATATTGAAGACAGTAGTTTAAATCCAGTTGCTACTCTATGTTATCAGCTAGAGTAGACAGACTGGCTGAAATCCAGCAGCAAGTTACAACTGTTGGATAAATTACAATTATTCCATAGTAGAGGAAATAGCAGAGTATGAGGCAAGGGAAAAGTACAGCACAGCAGCAAGGAAGCATGAGAGAATAGCCCAAGTCTTAACACTACACTCCCTTTCACAGTGACTAGCACTTTACTTAATATGAAGTCACTCTAGAAGTATTTTTAGTAGAAAAAATATCTTTACTTACACTTATGATGTGAAGTTACAGTCAGAAAGATTTTTAAAGGGGAGGGATGGAGTCTTCACCGCATAGAAGAGACATCTGCCATGTCTGCTACATATGGTTGAAGATTAGGCAAAAAGAGAACAGCAAAAAGATGGAAGCAAAACAAAGAAATAGAAAGATTGGTGGGGGATTGTCTAAAGTGGGGAAATAACTTTACTAATAGTAAAGTACTTATAGCAAGGCACAATCACTTTGTGAAGCTCCTCCCACTGATACCTGGTGTTAGTGTATGCAGCATTGTTATTATTCTAACAGCTAGATGAGACCTGTTGAATTAATGGAACTTACAGAGGACTTACTCTCATGGAAAGCTTACACAAACAACTTTTATGTTCTTCATTTAATTGTTTCTGCAGAAAAAAGACCATTATTTCTCTAGAAAACCTTGAACCCACTGGTTTATCCTGACAAGCACCTTGGTGACCAGTTAATGCTTACCCTGGTCTATATACATAAACAATTGAAAGAGTGAAAGATATTAAGCCATGATTTCCTACAAACTCCACAGTAGCATTTTCTGTTGCTTTCCCCTGCTTTGACGTATCAGGTGGTTTTGTAAAACTCATGTTATCAACTCCCCTCCTCCCTTCAGCCTTTACTTGGTTTCCTTTGATCAGGTCCTTTTCTTTTACTACCTTTCATTTGTATTGTGTTTTACCTTGATTCCTTTCCTTCCCCATCATGCTTAGGTTTCCAGAGCTTGGTGGGGGAGATGAGGAGATGTTGCAAAAATGATATATTTCTTTCTCATCATCCTCTTGCCTCAATTCTCAACTAAAGGTATTCTTGGTTGCCAGTATACTCCCATTATTATTTTGTCTCTATGAGTGATAATGCAGACTCTGAACAGTGTGTATAAACTCTTACAAAAATACAGTTCTGGTGCTGCTCTTCAGTGAAAGTACTGTAAAGTGGCACCTTGATCGGAAACTGAGTTGTCAGGCCCATCTATTTATTAGGTATTCAGCTGACACATTCAGATCTTAATCTTCGTTATTCCTTGGCTGTCTCCTTTCATATATATATATATTTGTGAAAACCTTCCTGCAAAAGCAGTTCCAGCAGCTGCTTGAAAGGTACTTGGTTAGCTTCAGCTACTTTGTTTTAAAGTATGGGGTGAATAATGAGTAATAGTGGCAGAATTTAGTCTATTTTAATGTTCACCTTGTCTGATTTCCTCAAAATACAGAGAGATTTATCCAGAGGTTAATATTTAAAAGGCTATTTTTCACTGAAATTACTTTTCTGGGTTCAGGTACAACAGGTAGACTATATGTGGCAATTTTCCCCCTGAGATCTATGTTTTCTTCCTGCAGCGTAGTTCACGAATTACTTTCTCAAATATCTGCATTTAAAAACAATAAATCAGAAAAAGAAGTCTACATGCCAGAAGTAATAGCTAATAATTTCAAATAAGGAAGAGACTCACAAAGAAAATGCAAGAGCATTTAAAAAAATTAAAAGAGATATATGCTAGCTGAGGCAATAACACTTAATTTTCAAGCTGGGGCATCATAGCCCCTCAGCTGTTATTAGACTCCATGTCCTATCAACTCTAGCCAGCCTGGTTAGTGAAAAATGATGATGGAAGTTTTAGCTCAACAAGATCTGAAAGACCACAGGTTGTGCACCTTTGTTGCAATTAGTATTGTGTCTCAATATAATATTACCTTTCAGCAACTCTCAATGTAGAGAGACTTTCATCCTAGAGCTGAAGAATTGCCTATGTTTACCTGGCTTAAGACTAGGAAAATACAAGCAAGTCTTCAACTCTTGAAGGAGTTCAGTCCATGGTTCCCAAACTTGGGAGCTATAGACCAAGATCTATATATTCTTCAGCTACAGCTCCCTAAAGTCCTGCCCATTGGCTCTGCTTACTAGAGAACCTCAAAACTGTAGTACAAGAACTTCTGGGGCCCCACCTTTGGCGGCCACTGAGTTACACTGGGGGAGATGCTGCTCACAGCAAAGGTTGGGAACCTGTGGACCTCAGGATGTAGCTGTCCTCTATGTCACGGCACAGGAAATACAAGAAGTCCACATGTACTTCCATGCAGACTCCTATAAGAGGCCTGTAATTGTTTGATTGCTTTTCATAGGTTACAAAAGATGGTTTTTAAAGTATGGAAGGAATTTGAGTATGAAGAACATCTGAGAGGAAAAGAGAAAAAGATATTTTAGGAGGCCTGTTGGAAGCTTCTGGCTGATGTTTTGCTTTGCCCTAGATTTATATTCAAAATTAAAAACAAGTCTTGTGCAATCTTCAAGACTAACAAGTTTTATTTGGCTTAAGGTTTCATAGATTTTAGCCCATTTCTCTCAGCTATTGCAAAGGTCCATGAAAGCATGTGACAAATAACAATTCATTCATCTTCAAGTCACCTGTTCTTGCTGCTAACAAAACTAACTGACATGGCTCAGCCTTCCACCTCAAAAACAAATCTACAATAAAAAACAGGAACTGTCCCAGTGAGTTGCAACCACCAGGCAGAGTGGTGAGACTGTTTCAGACAACTGGTTCGGGGTGTCATAGAGGGACAGTGTCATGCCTCATCTTCAAAAGGGGAAGAGAATGTCTTGCAACTAGAGAAGGGCAGTGAACAGAAGGAATTCAGTGGTCCAGTTGACAGCATCCTTAGGGATGATCATAAAATGTACACAGGGTATGGTTAAGATGGGTTGATGTCTACAAAGTCTCAAAGTGGCAGCTATTAAAGCTCAGCAATAAGCTTAAGGTTACTGCGTAAAAGATTAAGTCCAAAATCTATCCAGTAGGAAGAACACAAAAATGGTAAATGTATGAAAGGCTGTAATGACAGTGACAAACGATAATGAACAGACTAGGCTGGGGAAAGATCATTCCTGGGTCCAGGTTTTAAAAGAACAATTAGTATCGTCATTAGCATGACAAATGAGGAAGCAAACGTGTATGTTTTGCACCTGTCTGTAAAATGGGGAAAAAGCAAACATAATACCCAAGCATCTTGCAAATGTTAAACATGGAAAGACATAGAAGGGGAGTTAGTGTCAGGAAATAATATGTATTTAAAAACATGAAAATTTTAGCAAAAAAAATGTTCTGGGTAGTACGTTTTCTTGGGGATGGGGCAGGAAAAGCTAAGATCACAAGAGTCATTTTGTGTCAAACCAGAGGCTAATCTAGCCCATTCTGTGCCTTTGATGGCCAACCAGATTACCTTGGGGAGCCCACAAGGAGGACAGTAAGGTTAATGCATAGTGAGTCCTACTCTTTTGTGTAAAACAGAAATGTGAAGTATTGGAATTTTTGCAGCTTCGCATGATGCCTCTGGTAGGTGTGGCTTGGAGGGACTTTTCTGGGCTGGGGTGACTGTAAATCTATCCAGCACTAACCAAGAATTCCTTCCTGCCTTTTTGAGTTCAAAGAAAGCCCATCTCTCTGCTAAGTGCTTCTTTCTCTTTCTAGAGTCTCTTGAAGTCTGTTCCTGAAACTAAACATGTTTGTCAGTTGGCTTTTTAATCTCATTTGAATGCAATGAAGCTTCTTGTTTTTTTAATCTCCTACTAATGTCTCAGAGTGAGTTATTGAGACTGTTAAATGCCAGTTACAGTAATGAGAAAAGGGGTGATCTACTCTGGGGAACTCAGAGGTATTCTACTCTGTGAATCCTTGCACTCCTGCTACACAGCTAGAGGAATTTAATCCAAAATTCAAAACTCTGCAACATTAAGATGGGGGACGGGTTGCATTACAGCTCTCAAAATTCTCCAGACAGACATGCTGTCTGGGGAATTCTGAGAGCTGT